CCTATAAAATCTCTAGTAAGGTTGTCAAGTATATTAGGTAAACTATTAGGCTGTTGGCTGTATTATTTTCCATGAAGATATTCCTCCTAAAGCCTTTCATTGTCTTTCTCTAATTGGGACTGAAATCTTGGGTTGGCTGCACAGCTGTTGTTCTAGAACTTTCTCTTGCCATAATTCTGAATTTTTTCTTCTAATATGTTGGAGCTCTCACTTCTTTGATCTCAAGTTTACCTCATCTTATTCTCATATTCTTTAATAACTTTCTGGAAAAAGGTTTTGAAAGTAAATAATTTTGAGTGCTTACATGACTGAAAATACTATTACTTTACCCTCATATTTGATTTAATGTTTGAATAGTTCCATGATTCTAGCTTAGAATCTTTACCTTCTCAATTTTAATTTCAAAAGCATTTGTTTATTGAGTTTTTGCTTTCAGTATTACCTTATTAAGACCAATTCCATTGTGGTTGACTGTTTTTCATATGTAGCCTATTTATTTTGTCTGGAAGTTTTAATCCTTCTCTTTATCCATGATATTCTGAAATTTCATCAGATCTTCCTTGGTGTAGATCTGTTTGTATTCATTGGGCTCTTTTATTTTATTTTTTAAAAAATTTTAAATGTTTATTATTTATTTTTGAGAGAGACAGAGACAGAGTGCAAACGGGGGAGGGGCAGAGAGAAGGAGCACAGAATCTAATGCAGATTCCAGGCTCTCAGCTGTAAGAGCAGAGCCTGACGCAGAGCTTGAACTCACAAACCATGAGATCATGACCTGAGCCCAAGTCCCACGCTTAACCGATTGAGCCAGCCAGGAGTCCCCATTGGGCTCTTTGAATATAGAAATTTATGTCATTCAATCCTGGGAATTTTTCATGTATTGTTTCTTTCCTATGTTCTCCCCTAAAATGTTTTTGGTTCTCTCTTTGTGAAATATCTATTATCTGGCTGTTTAAACTCTTGGATTGAGTCATGTTTGTTTTGATTTTATATTTTTGTCTTATATTATTTTAGTTATTACTGCAATAATGCTGTGTAATAAAATTCTCTAGAGCTCAGTGTCACAAAAAAGCATTTATTTGTTTGTTTGTTTGTTTATTGCTCACTGGTCTCTAGTTGACTGGGGCTCTGCAAGGTTTGGCTAGAGTCACTTGGGCTTGGCAGATCAGGGTTATTTGCCATGTGTATTTCTCATCTTCCTTGGACCAGTGGCTTCTCAACAGGCAGATGTTCAAGAAGCCAAATAGAAACTCATGTGCCACTTAAGACTTTCGTTTAGAAACAGCACACTGTCACTTCTACGTACATCTTTCGGCCTTGTGGTTCTAACTCAACATCAATAGAGTGGGAGAATATCCTCTACTCTGTGGGGGAAAGGAGGAGATATTTTCTGAAAAATAATCCAACTTCTCACACTTATATTTCATTTTTTAGTGAGGTTATTCTTTCTCAAAGATTTCCTATTGATTTTTTTGCAATTATATATGTTACCTCCAAGAATTCTTCTGGTTCTTTATTCTTTTTTTCTAATAGCACCATTTTTTTTCTAATAGCACCATTTTATTTTAAACAAAAAAATATTTTCTCATACCTGCCTGAAAAATTGATCTTTTTTTTTCTCTATTTTTCTCCCAAATTTTTTCTAAATTTTCTACAATTCTCTTGGAGTGTTTTAAATCTTTATTATGTCTCTGGCTTACATATTGGAGGCTATATTTCAATGTCTCCTGATATTTCATTGATTCAAGAGTGAGACACCATCATTAGTGGAATTCATTGAGCATGAATAGGGATTATTGACTGGTGAGTTTCACCATTGGATGATTGGATGGGAGACCCAGCTACTACTTTGTTGACCCTCTCCAACTCAGTGTCTGCAGTGCTTTTCTCTTTGGTTGCTCACATTTTCCAGAAAATAATTTCTCAGTCTCCTTTCTGAGAGCTATAAGCCTCATTGCTAGTTAGAGAGCACAGAAGTCTCCATGTTCAGCCTGCAGATGTTCACCCACCCACCTCGTCACTTTGCCCTTCATTACACCATGCTTGATATCCCCTTCCATGTAATTCCTCCTGATAGCAAACCCTATGTATTCTATAGGCATGTGAATGGTAACATGTTGTACAGACTTGCAGAGAGGATCTCATCAAGTAACTGCACTTTGAAGTGATATTAAACTAACTTTAAACTGCTCAGAGTTTACCTAATTGCCCTCAAAAGAATCTTTACCTGCAGGTTCCTAAGTCTTTCCAGGTCTACCTTCTACATTGCATAGTTTCTTATAAGCATCTCTCTTACAAGTGCCTAGATTTCTGCATTCTCAGCTCTGTTATGTCAATTGCCACTTCTGGTATGCTTTCCATTTTCAAAACATTTGTAGCCATTTCTCATTTCCTCTTGTCTCCTTTTTCAGTCTATTTGATTTGGGTTTTTTTAACTTTTTTTTTTTTTTAATGTTTGTTTACCTTTGAGACAGGGAGACAGAGCGTGAGCAGGAGGGGGGCAGAGAGATAGACGGAGATGCAGAATCCAAAGCAGGCTCTAGACTCTGAGCTGTCATCACAGAGCCTGACACAGGGCTCAAACTAAGGAACCATGAGATCATGACCTGAGCCAAAGTCACATGCTTAACTGACTGAGCCACCCAGGCACCACTTAGCTTTTAAATTCATCTGTTGTCATGTTACTGGACTTTTAGGAGCAAATGGAGGTAAATACATGCACTCAATATGCCATGTTTAACCAGAATTCAAACTAAATTGTGTCTCAACCCTGTTTAAAAATCATGAGTGTTTCTGGGGCGCCTGGGTGGCTCAGTCGGTTGAGTGTCCGACTTCAGCTCAGGTCATGATCTCGCGGTTTGTGAGTTCAATCCCCAAGTCGGGCTGTGTGCTGACAGCTCGGAGCCTGGAGCCTGCTTCGGATGCTGTGTCTCGCTCTCTCTCTGCCCCTCTCCTGCTCACGCTCTGTCTCCCTCTGTCTCAAAAATAAAACATTAAAAAAAATCATGAGTGTTTCCACACGAAGTTCAGTTTGTAAGATGACATTTGTTGCTTCTCAACATCTCGACTTCCACTCATACTGTCTGTCTCTTTTAGTCATTGCTGAAATCCATCCTTTTTTCCTAAGATCCATGTTCTCTTTTTTCTTGGGGTACTTACTCTGAATTCCCCTTCCCCTTCGTCTCCCTTCCTTTGTCTAGTTCCTAACAGCCTTCAGCTTTCAACTTAAACCACACTTCCTCTTTTCCCTTCTCCCAATCTAGGAAGGAAGCCCCTTATTTCCTCTGCAATAGCATCCTGTTACCCCACTCACTTTGGCACTGCATTATAATGTACATTTAGTACTTTGTGTCTCATTCTGCATTATAAAGTCTAATCAGGGACTTGGGCTTGGTCACTCTAAGAACATCAACATTCAATATCTATGTAGCAGGTACTCGTTAAAAATTTGATGAATGAATATCGATTGAGCACTAGACTCTAATCAAAGATTTGAGCTCACATCCTAGTTTCTTCCATTGACTGACTCTGTGATCTTTGAATAGATAAAGAGCATATCTAGCACGGTTAGGTCAATTTCTGCCTCTGCCGTTTCTTATGTGACCTCAGGAGATCATCAACTCTCCAATCTCCGTTTTTGCAGCTCTAAATGGAGCTCAAATATACGCCCTGCTGTCCGCACAAAGTGATATATAGATAATATTCATAAATATGCAGTTCATTTTATCAATGCATAAAATATGCTAAAAATCAATCATGCTTTAAGTGGCTATTGAGTAGCTCGTACTGTGGTCCCTGGCAAGTCCTTTGCTATGCATGTCGAAGTGGATTTTCTGTGTGTCTTTCTGAGTAAATTATCAGCCTCTCACTTTTCTTAAGTGTCTATAGTAACATGATATGATTGAGATCAAAAGCACAAAGTGCCCCATTATCAATATAATCTTAAGTAATCATAAATGTATTAATTTTTAAAGTATCAGACAATATTAAATTAAATTTCCCAAATTAAATTAAATTTCCCAATATTTTTCCATAGGTTATGTATTCCTACTTAACCATTATAATTTTAATTCCATGTTTCATTTTTATATAATTTTCAACAGTTGATGCAGAACAGCTTGACAAAACATAAATGAAATTCTAGCCAATTTTGACAATTCTCTTCATGGCCTTCTGTTTTCACATTGTGCAGGATAATCTAATATTCATGAGATCAAAGAGCCAAATACAATGATAACATCTTACTTTGTAGGAGATTGTATTTTGTGTGGCAGACTTAGTGTGGAAGTCCCACTATTGTGTGGGAGCAGGATATACTTTTAACTATTTCTTCACGGAGTCAATTGACACAATCTTCCAGAAAATGTACAGTAATCAATTTTATGACTAATTCCTATATTGAATTGAAAATCCTCTTTGAATCCACCAAAGGCCATTTTTTAAAGTAAATGTATCTGCTTTTTTTATCTGCAGTATGATTTTCATGTCTAAACTAGTCATTGCAATGTTGGTTCAATTGCCCGGAAACTTTAAAAGGAAATAAAAAAGAGAGAAAGAACACTTAACAAATACCTCTTTTCTCAGAACCATTTAAGAACATCATTTGTGAAGATATATTTACAAATCTTAATGTTTCAAACAAAACCCAAATGTCTTCATGGGAATGTCTTCATGGTTTGATGGAGATCTTGTTGAAGATAGGACATTTCAACATAGATTATGTCATATTTCTAAACTGTTGAATGTATCTGTTTTGAATATATTTTGAAATGTTCAGTTGGTGCCCCTCAAAGAATAGTAACTTCTTGTCTAGTTCATGTATGTAACACTCTGAGGAAATTGTGTGCAGATACTAGTTCAGAGTCACTACAGACAATGTAAATTTACTTTATTTGAACACTTGCTCTGTAGTAAATATTATTTTGAGTCCTATACATGAGTCAACACCTTTAACTGAACATCTCCATAATATGGGTACTTTTACTATTCATATTTTACAGATGAAGGATTGGGCCTCAGATGTCACAGATAAGAGGTGGTAGGTCCCAGACACAAAGCCGGACAACTGGTTCCAGACTCCATACTCTTCACTCTGCATTGCTGCTTATTCCAGAACTCAGCAGTTAGTAGCTTCAAGAGCAAGTAGACTATTCGCTATCATCCAGGTATAATAATTTGTCGATTGGAACTGTTTGGCCTCAAGAGGGCAAGCTTTGCAAATTCAATCCGGCTGAATTGACAGAAAAAGTCCTGGAATTCAAGACTAATTTGCCTAGGAGTTTCCTTGAAGCAAAAGCCATGAAGTCTCAGTCAGCAATGTGTTGTCCGATGCATATGGTTATGGCATTTTGAGTCAGTTAGAATATCAAGAGGGTTTCAAGATTTGCTACATATTAATTAAATACGTGTTAGTGGTTGAAGAATGATCTATCAACAAAACGACTTAGTCAAAATTTCCAGACTCTGGCCCTTTGAAAACAAAACCGTGAGGCCAGACCCAGCATAGTTGTCATAATTACATAGAGATACTCTGAAAAGCAAGATACTGGGTCAATCATTTCCTTTTCCCATCTCCCACCAATTCTACATTAACGTATTTATTGATTCCATCTTAGGAATTGTTCGGGTTAAATATGAAATGTCAATGCAACCAATACTGTTTTTACTTTCATTAGTGTGGTGGTCAAGTAAGTCTAAGTTAAACTTCATTAACAAAAACCCTCAAGCTGCCGTGTCTTAACCTAGAACACGTTTATTTTTTGCTCATGTGGAATCCTATGTGGATCTGGGCGAGGCTCTAGGCAGCTGCCCACCACATGATGATTGGGATCCATGCTGCTTCCATGTGGTGGTGTCATCGCCATATAAACTTCTGCATCTGAAATCGCTACACCAGAGCAAGAGAAGACTGAACAGTCTTGCACCAGCTATTAAACACTTAACCCTGAAGTGACACACGTATCTTCTGTTTACGGGGCATTGGTGAGTGCTAGTCATGAAAGCCTGTCTACATCCACAGGGTTAGAAAAGTAGAAGTCTACCATATGGCTGGAAGGAGAAGACACCAGAAATTTCTCCCATATGTTAGATTACTGTTTCTAGATTACACAGAGAATAAGCAAACACATTTATATTGTGAAAGACAAGGAGTTATTCCAATAGTTATAAGTGCATTATATAATGATCCCTATTGAAGTATAAAAAGCTAAAACTGAGACAATTGTCTAGTGGCAAATAAATTACGGGAAGTGTTTTGCCCATTATATGTGCTTAAGCTTGGACCAGGGTTGAACCTTGGTTTATTGACAATTTGAGGTGGAGAATTCTTTGTTGTAGGGGGCTTTTCAGTGCACTGTATGATGTACGGTAGCATTCCTGGTCATTATCCACAAGATGCCAGTAACCAAGACCCCTCACCACCCAGATGTGATGACCGAATATGCCTCCAGACATTGCCAAATGTCCTCCAGAGGGCAAAATCACTCTAGGTTGAGAACCACTGGTTTGAAATACCCTCCCTCTAATTGTCAACCCCAAACCTTTGAGTTAACACAGTAACTTGTGCTATGCGTATATACTTTGCAATGTATAAAACACATTACGTGGCTTCATCTCCATTCATACGATAATTAGAAGAGAATGGTATTGTTATATTTAACACAAGGAAACAAGTTGGAAAAGGTGAAATGCTCTGTCCATTTCAGAAGGTGAGTAAATGGCAGGGAGACAACTCATTCTAAAACCTCTCACTATGGACTCATAAATAGTCATAAGTCTATTGAATACCTTCTGTACGACAGGCATTGTTGTAGCTATAGAGGATACATACATAAAAGGTCCGGTTCCTGCTCTCAGGAGACTCCGAGTCTAGTGGATGAAAGAGGCAAATTAACGTAAAATTACATTGGCGGTAATTAAGTGCTGATAGAAAGGTTTCCAGCAGTTCAGAGGGAGGCACTTCACCCGCAGGAGTCTCAGGCAAGCAGTGGAGATACTGCAGGAGAAGGGAAGGAATGATAGGACGCAAGGGAACAACGAGAATGTTGAATTCCATTTCTGACTCACCACAGAGAAAAGGAGCTGAAATAGACAGCACTCCTGAGCAGATCAAAAAGAAAAGAAAGCACGATAGTCTGAGCTGTGAGAGGGAAGAATTGTGAAAAAATGGTAAGCCCCAAACCTGCAGGCAGGTGTTGTCTGAACAGTTGCCAGAGACACAAACACCCAGCACGTCACAGCTGTTCTGTTTGTTGATTCAAATGAATCCCATTGAGCATTACAGAAAAGCATTAAAAATTAAAAAAAAAATGCTCAAACTCTATGTCTTTGAAGTAGAAGAAAAGTAAATGAGCAAGAATAGGTTAAAAGAAGGGATCTCGCATATAAATGACAGACACTATAATTTCTAGAAAGTGTGACCTGCTGGAAGCTCAGCGGACAGTTCATTTACCCAAGGGTTGAACTGCGGTCACTTGGAACAAACTCGTCTTGCCTTTCGTGTTGACTATGTCTTGATATTTAAATATTTCACTCAGTTTGCAGCTTGAGAAAGATTTCAAAACTGTGGCGATTCATTAGCTAAGGGTGACTATCTGTCAATGCGTAATTTAACAATGTGGTCAATTACATGACGGCACACTACCTCAAGTGTACCAGACGGGCCGTGCACTTTAAACTCTCACTCGGGATCCTGGGGATTGTTATTGAGTAAAACGTGTTTTAGGTTCCTTGTTTGAAAACCAGAGAGGGTACAAGGCTATTTTCCCACACAGGAGCATCTAGGTCCTCCGTGCTCTTTTCAGTATGAATCCGTTCACTTCTCTCTTAGCCTTTACCCATATTGCTGTGTTCCTTAGGTCACCTGCCTTCACAACTAGCAAAGAGTGACTCATTCCTTTTCCTGTGCCACTATTATCTCACCATGTCAGGCTCACTTTTCCCGCTGGGCAGGTCCTGCCTGCCTCTTGTTTGAAATCCCACCTCTTTTCCTGATCTTGGGCATTGAAATTAGTCCTCACTTTCTGCATTCGGCTCTTTCTGCATGGGTCACTGTTGGCAGCTCTAAGCAGGACCTTGTGTTGGTGGAGGGCAAGAATTCCTCACTCAGACTCACCCCACCCAATCTCCCCGGGTGCTCCCTGCAAGGAAAAACCGACAGTGGGAGGGACAGCTTCTGTAAACTCGCTTTGATAAAACCTTGGCAGGAGTAAAAATTGGAGAGATCTATGGGCAGGGAGTAGTGTAAAGAGAGGTGGAGAATCATGGGAAAGAGCTCAGGGAGGAAGTTTCAGTGTCTTTGTGACTTGGGTAAGGAGGGGTGAAGGTGTGCAGTGCAGGAGGGACAGCCTCCTCTGGGCTGAATCCCCCAGAGGTTCATCCGTGGGTGCCTGGGAAGTCACTGGAAGACAGGTTCCCTCTGCATCCAGAGAAGGGAAACCCCGGGGCTACTGAAAAGGAGTCGACGATGAAGGAGCTACAGCTTACAGACATAGGATCGGAAAAACATGCTTTTCTAAGAAGTGCAAAGTGGGAAGAGAGCACAGGAAGTGGCATCAGGAGCAGTAAAAATAATCTAGGAAAGCAAAGGGGGCTTGCTGAGCAATGGGGAGTCTGGCATAACTCTTTTAGTGTCTAAAAGGTTTATCACAGTGTCCTCGTTAGGGGCAGAGCCCAGGGCAGAGATCTCAGCTCTGCCGCGTCTAGCCATGCTATCTTGGGAAATGTACTTACATTCTCTAAGCCTCTTTAAGTCATTCCCACGGAAGTTTTGTGAGCATCTAATGAAATGAAACACATGCAATTGTATGATGCCTGGCACAGGGGAGTTTTCAGTAATTGACCAGCTCCTCCTGTCTGTCAGAATGATGGGGCGGGGGATGCCGATGGCTGCGGGGTGAAGCTGGGACAGCTTGAGTAGTAGATAAAAGCCCAGACTTTGAGTCAGACAAAACTAGATTCAAGTCTAGTTTGATTTAGACCTAGACGAGATTCAGACCTGCCCCTTGCAAGCATGCTGTCTTGATCACTCTAGGTAACCTTTATGACCTTCAGTTTTCTCATCTTTAAATGAGGCTTAATAAAATATATTTCAAAGAGATAAGGACTAAAGTGAGGATTAGACATAATGTATTAGACATACACACACACACACACACACACACACACACACACACAGTTTCTGGCATAGACTAAGTCCAATAAATTCTAGCCAATTTTATCAAGACTCCAGCAAGTATGTTAGCTTTTTGTCTTTGAGTGAGCTTTCTCAGGGTGATGATCTATGAAATAATTTATTTTCCACAAAAATTTATCACATTCTTATTACGGTCAAGGCACTAGTCTAGATGCTGAGGGAAAGGCACTTAGAAATAATAAAAAATAAGTCCTGTCTTCAAAGTGGTCACAGTCTGATGGACTGAGGAGACATATACATATTAGTAGGCAAATGGTCCATTTGCAAAGTGGGGAGAAAAGGACTGAGCAGACATAGATATATTGGCAAGAAAATGGTCCAGTTGCAAAATGGGGAGGGAGGGGTTAATTCTTATTCTAAAGACCCACAAGTCCCCAGGAAGCTGATCTTGAAGGGTGATGATTTCAAAGGCAGAGAACTGGAAGAAGGATGCCTTAGGGAGTTGGAATAACTATGCAGAAAGACTAAATATGAAAATGCTTGATGTGTTTGGAGAGGAATTTGGGGGCTGTATGTGTGTTGCAGGTTGCTATAATTATAACTCGATACTTGATTTTGGTCTTCCCTTTTTTAATGATGGAGCTATTTCGTATTCAACAAGACTTCATAGTGCCTTGCACAAGGTAAGCTTCAGTGAAATAAATTAAATTGAAGATGCTCTCTCATTAGATTCTAATTTTCCAAATATCCTAAGGTTTATTGCTTTTTTTGCATGATAAGTTTATTTTGTAGAGCCATTCCAATTAATATGCTTAGGTACCTCTGCTGACAGTGTTTCAGAAATAATAATAGCATGACTTTTGAAATTTTCATAGCAATTTTCTTGGCTTTAAATAATTCATCCTTCATACTAGATTCTGTAAAACCGTGTAACAATTTAGCCACCACCACGTTTTGATTCTGGCTGATAATTATGAGGTTTCTTTCTGTCAAGTAGTAGCAACAAAGAAAAGCCTCTCTGCCTCTTTGAGGGAAAGGGCTTGGAGGTGGAGGTCCAGAGGACAGGTCACTTCCCAGCAAAAGAGGCAGCCAATCCAAAGATGCACTGGTGCTAAACAGGAATGAGTGCAAGACTGGTGATCAATGTCATCATCAAATGCATCATTAAATGCACTCACCTGGATCATTCAGTTCTGACCTACATATTAATGAAGAGGAAGAGGGAGGAAGGAGACAGAAGGTGTTGCACAGGCAAGAACACTCTTCAGAATCAGAAGCATTGCTGGAGGAATCCAGTCATCAGATATATTTGAAATCCGTTTAGTTTCAGTAAGAACATGAGAAAGTAAAGAAGGATTATGAGATTCAAAGGACTATTATTTCAATGTTTCTATTGCTCGTGAATTATTGCATTGCCAGATGACCTTGAATTTATCTAGCTCATTCTTAGATCACCAGGTGTTTCCTCATGACCGGACCATTCCCTTGACCCCACATGCTCCTACAGCTACAACCTTGCTTCTTCCTCCCCGTCCCCCCACCCCGCCAACTCCCAAATGACAGAAGTTGTCTATACTCAATTCTTCTTTTTCTACATTGTAGGGATAACAGTAATCTCCCCAGGACTAGTGCAGAGTCAGCCCTGAGCATTCCTCACTGGCCCCCTTGGCTGCATTTCCATAGGGGAGGAGCCCCATTATCCACACAACCTCTTGGTTTCCCCCTGCTTCTCCTCCTTCTTCTTTGGCTGCTGTCTCTTGGACTCTCTCTGTGATTCTCCATCATCCTCAAGACTGAGAGATGTGGGTGTTCCCAA